ACCACACTTCCGTCTCGATTTGATCAATGGTGGTTTTTTTTAAATCGCATCAGTTTGTGTTTAAAAGTAGTTGAGTGAGACACTGTGTGTGTGCATGTGCATGTTTCATGAACCAGCTTGTTCGCATCACGTCCTCGAGGTGACGTAGCGTTTTCTTACATTCTTTGTTTCTACGCAGGTGTGGTGTGACGAAGCACGGTCCGCCAATGGCTCCTTGCTTTGCTAGTTGAGTCCATATTACAGCAGACTTTCGGTGCATCATGTGATATCACGGCGAGAGGAGCTGTTAGCGTTAGGCCTAGATCTAGTACCCTCGCGCGAATCTTGGTCGACTCGTACATGGTAGAGGTGGGCTAAATCCGGATAAACTATCCGGATAACCGGATAATTCTCAATGAAATATTATCTGAATTCAGACTTTAAACCCTCTTTCCTGACCCATTTGCCGAAGTCAGTGTACCCATTTGTTGATGAAGTAATGCTAACCTGTTTATCTAAGAGATTTTGCCGAAGCGGTTCGTAACATATTATTTGCCGAAGAGGTGTACTAACACATTATCTGGATTCTGGTAAAGCGACTCATTGTCCAGCCCTAGTCGCTCCTTCATCATTCTTGCATGATACGGGTTGATGTATTTTAACCAGCAGAAAAAATTATGCCCATAAGATACAAGTTGGCCCCCGACTGATATGAAGTCTAGAGACCCAGAGGAAGCAGAATCACCAAATAAAAAAACTTTATGATGAAAAACAAGGTTCTAGTACTTTATATAGACCCGGCTCTCGGACTATATAGCTTGTTCACTTTCTTGTGTCCACGGTTATAACAAGATAAAAATTCATATCGACCCGTTCAATCTTCTTCGATCTTTTCATAGCCTACGGATCTAAACATTGTATGACCAGAATCTAGCCTATTCAAACAGGTTACCCTATAAACTAAGGTTCTGGCACGTTTTCTTTGATGTCAGCCTAATGCGGTAAAACAAAACATTCAATAAATAAATCTGTAAAAAATAAGAGGGGATTAACAGCATACACGTAAAATATTTTTTAAGTTTATATATTTTCCTCCATACCACACTTTATACGTGCGCGGTCCAACAGACGGGTGAGTACCTTAAATTTCGAGACTCCCGTGGAGACAAGTCGAAGCCTTCATATCTAGACTGTCGTGAGATGGAATCGTCAAACTTTTTGGCTACTGAAATATGGGGACAGGGTGGTGTCTTTGTCTCAAAATTAGTAATTTGTAGGCTAGGTACGTTAAATCATGTATTTTATAGATCCTGTAAGCACCAAGAGAGCGGTTTTTAAGTTATAGGACCCAAATATTATAACTTTTCAAAACAATTACTTAATCAAGATTTTTTTTTTTTACTTTTTTTTTTTGCCCCTGACTTACGGGAGTATAATGCTAAGTTTCGTGGGCGTAGGTAAATTTATCAATGAAAGATTTTAATGCGCACAGAAGAAGTAAACAATTAAGCTATAATTATACAAGAATTTTCAGTGTCAGGGTTTCTCTCTCTCTCTCTCTCTCTCTCTCTCTCTATATATATATATATATATATATATATATATATATATATATATATATATATATATATATATATATATATATATATATATATATATTGTGTTATTGCATATTATTGTAGGCTACAGGTTGCTTTCACAGTTATTCCATATAGACATTTTTAAAGACAGAGAATTATTTGTAAAAGCTGTCAGCCAAAAGGTGAACGATGGTTAAACTATCAAAATTAGTTTTATTCAGTCAGTCGAGTCCGCACTGGTTTTATCAGATCTAAATAAAATAATTTGAAAGAAAAACAATCATTGGCTTTCACAATTATTGATCTATTGAAACTCTAATCGGGGCCACGCTTTTATATTTTGTTTGGTATTAAAGATTGTGTTCTTACATTTAACAAAAACAACCTGTAAAATAACTGTTGATAGAGTTGAAATTAAAATCTGTCGGGCCTATTAGAGTATTAGGACTATTTTTTAACGGAATATAATTGAACGCACTCGGTTGTCTTCGGAAAGGGTGCGCCGTTGCGAGATGTTACAAAGAAAGTGAGTTTCGCTTTTCTTGTTCAGTGCATGCTCTCAAATGCAAATATTTGTTTAAAAGTTTATCATAACTAGACAAGTTCCTTTTTTCTCTTTGAATAGCGATTTTTTCTCCTCGTCCAACGTGGAAAAAGACATTGGCAACTAAACGAAGGCAAAGTGATCGTTTAGATCGAAGATTTATAGTTTTTATTCAACACAAATGCGGAAATACGACGGAAGCAAACAAATTAAGGGAGGAAACTCTGAAATTGCGCATGCGTTGCTGCAGAGATGAAGGTACCAACGACAACAATGTAGTGGATTTTAACATTTTGATTTTTATTGAATGATAACCTGTGTTTACGGCGTGGAGAAAAGTGACGGGTTGTACAGAGAAAAAAAGCATTTGAACAGGTGAGTGATATAATTATGTCAAGATTGATTACGTGTTTTGTGTGCAAATATCCTTTCTGTACGACACTACTCACAGACTGTGTAACTTACACTCGTAACAACAGTAGAGTTTTATGTTCAGAACGGCCATCCTTCCTTCAATTGCCGACTGATTCCATGACTATTCGGGTTTGTGTTTACGCCTTTTATGTTTGAAGTCGCATTCGATGGGTCATTACTCCAACACATTTATACTTAGATCTAGATTCTAGATCTAGATCTAGTTAGAGTCTAGTTGTGAGATATTTCTAGAATCTAATCAGGGTTTGAGGGGAAGTAAAAATAAAATGTGAAGGCAGGATAGTGTTGAAGAGCGTGAATCATTTGATAATATATAATATATGACAAATGAATGGGCATAGGTAGAGTTCCAAAAGTGATTCAGCTACCAGAGCTGGCCTCAGTCACTTTAACCCTTGTCCCGCGGGGGCCGAGTTTATCATCCATATCGCCCGATATAAGCCTATTTCGGCACCTCGCCTGCGTTCTGGTCCCACGTCAGTCTGACCCCTGGCTCAGGGCATGCGCGTCGAGCATCATCTCCCATTTAATTCGGGTCCCGTGTCGAATCCACATTAACACAGCTCAAATGTGTGTGTCAGTCTGCTTGAGTTTTGCGTGCGTTTGTGGCTTTCTTCTAGATCTAGAACCGTCTCATTCAGAACACGCCAATTTGGTAGCTCTGGTTGTTCGTCCAATGAAATTATAGAACAAATTGACTCACTTAGACACGAGGGGCTTGAAAGGATTGGACCAGGAAACAAGACTTCCATTTTTCTATACAAAATCTTTCAAATGAGCTTGATATGAAATGATAATAAATACAAGCTTCTTTGATATTTTGAATACCATTGTGAAGGTAAAAAGAACAATTTGAGTGCAAAACATTCGGAAATTGACCTATATGTTATCCCCTTTCGAACCCCAGGTCATTCATTTATACAACAAGAGCGTCTAAAGAGGTTATTCGAATAGGCATCGTAATGTCTTATCAGCTTATGAGAGGGTGATTCATCATGTGTTCGTAACACTTTATAAATATAGAAAGCTATAAAAGATAGAGCTTTGTTTTCATCAGTGATTAACACACTCCCACGGTGTTCATGGCGAAAACACACGTTTCCAGGCATGCCCACTGTACACCTACTGTACACACTGAGTGACCGTGACGACCTGCGTGGAATGTCCGACGTAATCGGTTGCTGATAAGATTCGCATCTCAGCAGGACAAGAGTTAATATATATATTTATCACTCTCAGGCTCTACATCAGAATCAGATGCTACCCGTGTCCCTCTTCTCTTCCTTCTTTTTATGTTAAAGTTTGAACAGGAACTTGCACCTATATCGAAGGAATGAGGATGGCTGATTCAAGAATCCTTCTTTAGCTTTTTTACTTGCATTTCAAAATATTGAATGTGACAAAATTTAACAGATGAAGGTAAATGTTACAAGCGGATAGCTAGAGAACAACAACCAAACACCATTGGCTGATATTTATGGTAATAGCCATCTTGTTTGACGTCATTGAGTGATTCCCTCTTTGTCAACCATGGTGGCAACACGACCGCACAATGGCAGCCTGCCGACTCAGATTATTTTCTTTGCAACTTACAGAACCGTTCGATTCGGTTGTCTGATTGTGCAGCACCCTTCTTCCACCCAGATTGATTCTGATGCTGTACACTACGTTAAACTGAGAGGAAGAAGAAGACTAAGAGTAGGCCTACGTACGAAAGCAAGTTCAAACAAAGTTCAACGATGCAGTGCAAATTATCGACCTTTCGATCCAGATCTTTTCTTTTAAAGTTTTGTTAGCACAAGAAATGAAGCCAAGCACTAACAAGAGATTGGACTCAATAAGACGCTGAGCTGCAAATGGAGTAGATCTAATTCGAGACTGCAAGGTTTGCAAATGAATACTGTGAGGTTCAAAAGCAGTGTATACTTAGAGTAGGGGAAACCACTAGGAAAGACTCGTGAAGGTGAAGGAGGGGCTCAGGGAGGGGGAGACTGCTCCTCAGTCAATTGTTCTTTTTAGGTTATATTCCTAGTTTTGAAGAAAATGCTTGCAAAGAAGCCTAAATAATAACAATGAAATAACCTACAACTGATGTTAACCCTGGTCCTGCGGGAGCGGGTTTATGTTCCCCGCTAAGCCTATTTCGGTCCCTCACCGTCATTGCGGCCCCGTATCTGTCCAGCCCTGGCTTAGCATACGCGTTCCGAGCGTCATCCCCATTCCATTTGGGTCTGGCATTCCCGCAGCTCAAGTGTATGTGCGTCAGTCTGCTTGAGTTTATGTGCATTTGTGGCCTACCTCTAGAACCGCCTGCATTGGTTCCTAACCAAGGCATACGTCTCATTTAAAACATGCCAAGTTGGTAGCTCTAGATGTTCGTCCAATGAAATTAGAATGAATTGACGGACTTAGACATGAGGAGTTGGAAAGGATAGTCAGGAAACAAGACTTCCATTTTTCTATACAAAATCTTTCAAATGAGCTTGATTTTGTATGAAATGATACTACCCGATAAAAATAAGCTTATTTGATAGTTTTTAATACGATTGTGCAGATAAAAAGAACAATTTAAGAGCAAAACATTTGGAAATTGACCTATTTTATCCCCTTTCGAACCCCAGAATATTCTTTTAACAACAAGAGGTAATTCAAATGGACGTAACTACTGGTAATGTCTTATATCAGCTTATGAGAGCGGGTTATTCATGTGTTCATAACACTTTATGAATAGAAAGCTATAAAAGATAGAGCGTATTTTCATCATCGATTAACACACTCCCACGGTATTCATGACAAAAACGCACATTTCCAGGGCCACTCGCTGTACACCAACAGTATTAGCTGAGTGACCCAAGTGGCCCACCCGAAACATCCAACGTAAGAGGTTGCTGATAAAATTCAGATCTCGGCACATGATGCATGACAAGAGTTAATGGATCACATGGAATTTCTCCTGAGCAGAAAATCCTGAGCCACAATATATATATATATATATGAAAAATGTCAATGATTGAAATTAATGCATGTGACGAAGGGTTGAAGAATCGAGTGCTGATGCTCGTTGAAATAATGGTGGTATCTTGGAATTTCCCTGTTCAGTTTTTAAGCTATTTTTCGTTCATTTGTTTTTAAAAGGTTTAATCCATTGTGCCTATGTTGAACTAAAAGTCTTAACTCAAATAGATATGTATGGAAACCTGTACATGACTGCAAAACTTTCAGAGCATATAGTTAGTGAGAGTGGGAGAGGGGCACTTTAATTAATACAAGTTTTGAATGAATGGGTAATATATCAACAGTATCATTTCACATGCATCCAAATCATTTTGTGAAGTTTAGGAAAAATTTAAGAGAAAAATTTGCTAGAATTGGATGCATGACTTCGGCTTTTGCTATTTTTCAGTTAAAAACTGCAAAGAAAGTGTAGACATGATGATGGTATTAAATTAAACTAGACTGTAAGGTGCCCCTTGATGTCTTTCCTTTATTTGAATAATAGCTTTATCTGGAAACTCCCTAAAATTAGTGGGGTTGTGGAATGACACTGATGATGTGGGTCAATACACAACCACCCTGAAAGTCACCTTTTATTGTCCCCTGGATCTAAGGGTAGTTCTGTTGGTGAGTACTACTTGTTAGTCATGGCAGCGCTGTTGCTTAGAATTGTCTACCACTGTGGAAGAGAGCGGCTGACAAGATGATTTTTACAATAATGTGGAAGGGGCGCAAACAAATACTTTTTATAAAATCTTTTGACATAAGTTTAGTCAACAAATCCTTGCACAGTTGAAACTAAGGCTATTTGACATGTGATTTTTACATGCAATTTTTTAAATCTTTCCACAAGCTCAAAAGAGACATTTTGGGGTTAAATGTGGGCAGATAAAATTAGAATTTCACTGAATTTTTTAATAAGAAATTACAGCCCTCAGTGGCACAGCATGTGC